CTGCCAGAAAGGAGATTGCTATGGAAGGACCATCCGGGGAAAGCCCTTGTTACAATTTAAATAATAATCTTTGGCTTGCTAGGGACCAATCAAGAGAGTCCTTGATGAGCCTAACTGGTAATGAGACAGCACGGAATGACTGGGGTAGGTCCAATGTGCCCATATGGGGTGGCCGAGTAGTAGGTAGGAGACAGGTCACAAATGCTGAGGTCTCCTCTTTACGTGATGAAGAGTTTGATGCCTTCATGAAAATATTTGAAGGGGGTTCTCTTCTCTACTGTAACATGTCCTTTGAGGCACTTTTAAGTGTTAGAAGGCAACTAGAAGACTTGGGATTTCCCTGCAAAGCTGTAAATGATGGCCTTTGGCTGCAAGTCAGTAGCTATAAACTTTCACCATTGTTCCTATTAATAACAGTTTTCATTCTTTTTTTGATTGCTACCTATAGATGTTATGGGATATGATGTCTAAGATCTGTGTCTATCATTTCAGATGCTCCTGTGTCACAGGGTTCAAGCAATTGTGGCTGATGCTTGCAAAAACTGTTGCTTGACAAGCAGTGCATGTGCTTGTAGACAGGCTTATGGATATTCACATGGAGGAGGTCCAGTTGGTTATTACAGGCAAGAACATGACCGAAACAATAGTTCTAGCACCAACGGAAATATATACCTTGCAAATGCCCAGGGTGATGGAAGTGGCTTATTTGGGCCTGTTCGTGTCCCTGTGAGGGGAACAATTGATGGGCTTGCAGGCATTGGGCGAGGAACAACATATGAGCATGGTGCAGCTTGGCCTCCAACACGTTATGTATTTTCTCGTGTTCCGACAGTACTTGGCAATAGAAATCCACAGCAGACACTTGGCAATGATGAATCAGAAGCACGAATTGATTTGAATGGTGATGTACCAAGTGATGGTTTAACAGCTTTAGTTGGTCTTGTCCAAGGAAACAATCTTGTTCATATCCATGCAGAACAAAGAGGAAGAATGTGTGAAGCAGAAATACAGAACAGGTTTGCTGCTGCAGGATCTCACCCTGGTGCATGTGGCATTTCGTCACAGATGTTAGAATCGCGGGAGCAGACTCTTGGACTTGAATGGGAAAGTTGTGAGGGCTCATCGATATCCTTGGACCTAAAAACTCCATTACGCCATTTTCCTCCATTTCGCTTTGGGTTAACACTCAACTATTCTCCTTAATTTGATGATTTATCTGGATTGTTTAAAATCACTAGTACATTAGATAGTTCCTTGTTGCATACAATCCATTGTTGCTTCAAACTGCAGTGCATCTGATTTATGCAGTGACATCAAAGTAACTGATAACCCTTTTATTTAGAGGATGTTGACTTCTATGTCCCTGTGTGGTTCTGATCTTAAGTGTAACCTATTCTCTAATTTGGACAAAGAAACCCTTATGTGTTCATAGGGTACAGTTATGGTCCATAGTTTTTCAGAAACCAATAGGATTGGCTTGAACTTGATGTCACTTCCTAACACTAGGCAACTTTAAGATAACAGTTCTGCTATCAGGCCCATGGAATATTACCCGTGTAGTCTGCTCTCAATGCATTTCTTTGCTGTTTATTGGACTGCTCAAGATTTCAAATTCCCAACCAAATATCTTGGTGTTGCAAATGATTATTTCCTATCTGGAAAATAATAACATAGTATCATCAGACTATTTTTGCATGACATTAATTTCATTCTCAATTTTCAAAATTAACATTTTCTTAATGATTGTCTATACAATTTGATAATTATTTTTTCCCCTTGTTGACAATCTGTCAACTTAATTGTCAGGGTAGAATTTGAAGATGTTGACAGACTTGGTGATGGTCAAGTGAAGCACTCTTCTGAAGTATTTTATGCTGGGTCTCTGTGGAAGGTACATGCCTTTACATTTTGTTATCTCTAGAAGTATCCTTGCCATGTAATTTCTAAGGAAGGTTACATTGTTATAGGTAAGTGTCCAGGCTTTCAACGATGAGGATCCTCAAGGACGCCGCACACTTGGTAAACTTTCCATCAACCAATTGGTTCATTCTAAAATATATTGGTATCAGAGAGACATAATTAAATGGTATTAACTCGGATTAACATGGATCCTCTACTATTCAGGATTGTTTCTCCACCGACGGAAGGCTGAGCTTACAGATTCTCTCAGAAAGGTCAGTTTTTCTGGGGCAAAAGATAGAGCTTTAGACTTGGTAGCCATCTTTTTCTTGTTCTTCTCTTTTGCAGGTGCATATGTATGTCGACTCTCGTGAGAAGGTCACAGCTCGATATCAGGTAGCTTTAGTGTATACTCTTATCTATTTCACTTGTGTGAAGAAAAAAAAGACCAGATCATGCTATGGTTATTTATTGCAGTTAATATGCCCCTCAAAGAGGGAAGTCATGGTGTTTGGAAGCTTTAAGCAAGCAGGGACATTACTGCCTAAAGCTCCGAAAGGATGGGGTTGGCGCACTGCATTACTATTTGATGAGCTGGCTGATCTTCTCCATGCTGGAGCTTTACGGGTCACAGCCATTGTGCAGCTTGTTTGAGCTTCGGTATTGGCATATTAGGGCAATACATGGGTATGTTGGAGTCATTTCATTCTGTCTCAATATAAAATTAATAAATCGTAAATAGTTTTTTAATGTCTTACAGCAGTAAATGCTGACAATTTCATTCTTGTTTTTGGTGGGCCATCCTGCTGTAGGTCTCACAATCTTAGTTATTATTGTATAAAACCTTAATCTGTGTTATATGTAGTACCAGTTAAGCTTCTCATCTTGATCCTGGAAACTGAAACATTGATTCAGTGAAATGCTATGTTCCAGAATTTACTAGAAGTGGTGCCTAAATTTGGTGTATATAGAGAATAATACAATTACCGTTAGAAGTTAAAATAGCCAAATAAGAAGTCATGGAATATTGAATTAAAGAAGGCAAGTATCCCAAAAAAAGCTTGTGCTTATTGCTGCTTCCTAAACAATGCCTCTGTTTTTGGTTCTGCCCCCAGAGCATTCATATTTTTTATGAGGTGCATCTGTTTTCCACCTTATTGAAGTTTGGGGTTGGTCCAATTTGGTTGAGAGTTTTAGGCTTAGTTCGGTTCAAGCGATCGTCTTGGTTTAGAGAATTAAATTAGAAGGTTTTGCCAATTCAAGGAGTAAAGAGGTAAGAGGTCATTTAATTATATCTGTCGGCTCCTCTCTCTCCTTTAATCATCTTTCTGCAGTCTTCTGAGTTGATTGAATCTCTTGAAGAATCTCTCAGGTTCATCTTCTTTTCACTTATAACCCTAGTTTGTCTTTTTCCCGTTTTCACTTATTTAGCATTGATTTTCATTAACATTTGTTGATTTTCAAGTGGATTTGTGAGATTTCATGGTAAAGGGGTTTTGTCCATGCAGATTGTGCATATGACTGTTTTCATCTTGAATCCTAGGACGCAAATGTGTTTTTGGGTTGTGTAGATTTATTTTTCGTGAGTTTTTGAGTTGTGTAGATTTATTTTTCGTGGGTAGTGTATTGTGTGAAAATTTTAAATAATTTGATTTTAAATGGAAAAAAAATTGCGGCTGATTTTTCTTTTCAGTCTTTCAAGGTTTCAGCATTCTTGGATCAATTTTTGAGTCTTTTTTATTGCAAAAATTGCTAGTATGACACATTGATGTTCTTAGTAGGTAATTTTTGTCCCCATAAGATTTATGAATCTTATGAAGATTAGTGTAACTAAGTTTATATTGTTGTCTTATTTTTTCCACTTGGAGATTCTACCCGCAAAACCTGGTGGTTCCATCAGAGTTCACGCAAGTCGATCTACCACAGATTCAATTACATCATTACTCTGAAACAACGTAACAAACTTAATAGCCTACGGAGTTTAAGATTCTCCCGTGCATGGGTGCACTTGTTACACTTTTTTTTTACTGAAAACAGTGAAGCTATTTATTTTGAGGATTTCTTTAGCCATTTTTTGACACATTGAATATGGGCACCACTAAATGGTAGGGTCTGACCAGATTCCCGTCTGATTTGGGTTTTAATAAGTTTGCCTTAATTATTGAACTCGATTGCTAATGTGATTAAATATTTTTCTCTATTTTTTTACCCATTCCAAATATGATAAATGAGAGCCATATCCCACCACATCACTAGGTTAATTAGGCATTTGTTACCTAAAAGACCTCAAATTGTTGCCACCTAGTGATGACAAATCGAACTGTCATTGGCTAATTATCTACTATTAATTTTCCTTAAACATAAAAATCATGACTCAAAGTATCGGTTTGCATTATGTGCACGTTCTAGCTTGCTCTAAAAAGTCGGGATACACCAATGGGGCTGCTAAAGTGTTAAAGACTAATAGAGATCGGTAGACTATTAAACTTTGGGATCTATGCAGTCTTCAGATCTGAAATTAAAATAGTCGAACAGTAGGTTGATCGGGTCTCGGTGGGATATTTTCTAAATAAAAATCTCCTACAAAATTGATATTTTCTAAATAAAAATCTCTGACAAAATTACATTACTCGTGTATATCATAAACCTTATGAACATGAAAAAGACTTGAAAGAAAATTTCAAACATATTGGCAATTCACACATTACCCATCTTTTTTATCACAGCTTGCTTTCTCACATTGTAATCCTTTTATCCATGATAAAATGAGGCTCTTTGGATAAATCCCATTATTTTTTTTGTTCTTTTCCTATTATCAATAAAAATTTTTGGTGGTTCCAGTTTTATTTTTGTTCTCTTAGAACTTTTTTTTAAAAGTAAATTTTCTAAAAGAAGTTTTTATTCTCAATCCATTAAAAAAAGAAATATAGGACTTGTTAACTTTATAGCAAGGTTCCAATTGGTATTGGTGATTGTCAATCCTCTTTTGTTCGTTGATCTTTTTTTAGATTGGGATTGGCTTTTATCTGTTAAAAATTTCCAAGGCCCACACTCAAAATATAAAAATATTGAGAACGCCTTTTTAATCTAATCAAAAGAAATGTGACAATTATCAATATTTTAAAAGATTAATTAAAAACAATGTGTTTTTAGTTGAACACAAAAAAAAATTATCTATTCATACAGTAAAATCCCTAAATCTAAACTAGGGTCGATTCTTTTACCACGTAATCTTTTTCACCATCGAGCCATTTATTCATGGTCCTTTGCATACGACTACACCTACCTAGAACTTGTGGATGAAGTGATAAATGAGATCAGAAACCTCGTGTGGCCTCTCCTGGTTGATGAAGTGACCGACTCCTTCCATCACAACAACATCTTCAAGAAATGGAACCGCACTTTTGAAGCCACCCTTGTGTATGTAGTCTTGGATGCCTGGCGTGTGGTACGTTAAATCAAGATCTCCAATAATAAACTTCACAGGTACGTCTACTTGGACCTCAGTCCAAGGTGCTGAGAGCTCCCAGTTCCTTCATATCAATGATAATGTGGCATAAATGAACAAAACAGATACAAACTGGAAATTGCAAAATTGCGTATTAAGAGAACAGACCAGTTCATACTTCTCTGCAGCAATGAAATTTCTTTTGTTCAACATTAAGGGAAAAAGATTGGTAAATCATTCAGTTGAAAAAGGGACGGGAGGGACTACTCCAAGATCTCTAAGAAAAGCAGAATGTTTGATGATCTGAAAATTAATAAAAATTGAATCAAACATCTTTCCTGTATACTTGAAGACTTTTAATACTCCCAAAGCAAATTTAAATTTATTCCTTGTTGGAACACAAGGACAGCACACAAATAACTAAGATTACCAAAATATATCGAAACGACTATAATCTTCCCAAGTTTGAATCTCAAACCAAACATATCAAGATTAAAAATAAATCAATACTTCTTTCCATTTATTCTATACTCAAACCAAGCATATGGAGACTCAAAATAAATGAATACTTTCTATAATTTAATTAACTATGGAAGATACTAATCTTGACCAAGAACAAAAGCATGTAACTAAAATAAATAGATCTACAAATCAAGTCGATAGGGAATATAAAATCAACTAGCCACCGTTCGTCACGGTAACATCATGGAAGGCCCATAGGAAGATAAAGGCCTAGGAAGCCCAACACCCTTCTACCCACATTGATAGGAGTCCAAAAGACGGCTCCAGTCAGTTATCGATCTACCGAGCTACTAAACCTATGGAATATCCATAAGAATATTCCCAAAAGTCTAGGAGGTAGCTTGGGTCTATTACGAACGATCTCCCTTGTGAAATATTCGTAAAAATATTCCTAGAAGTTCAAGAGGTAACTCGAGTCGATTAGGAACTATCTCCCCTACGAAATATTCACAGAAATATTCTCGGAAGTCCAGGGGGTAGCTCGGGTCGATTACGAATTATCTCTCCCGTAGAATCTTTATGGGATATTCCTTCTCCTCAAGGTTAATATAAAGACACACCCTTAACTCTAAATTAAGGAGAAGAGACCTCGATACTAACTTAAGCATCGAAGGGAACGGCTCGAGAAGCAACTCTCGACCTTGGTCTTTGTGCAGGTAATGAGTCTAGAGAGACTACGCTCTGTTCCGAATGACTCCTCACATACGGATCAGGGTCACGTTGTGTTGACGAAGACATCAACAATATTTTTCCCCAACATTTTGACACTAGAAGGAGGGTCCGATGTTGTAGGAGCGTTTGCAAGCTGACCTTGTCCATGAACATTCAGGAGAGGATCCACCTTTTGACCCATGACACTTTCACTCAGACGGGGCAACAACCACCCTTTCCTCACAAAGATACGTCCACCTCGCCATGAGTACCAATGTAGTACTGGCATTCGCTCAACGACCCTAGACCCTCATCTCCGGGAGTGCCGTCGAGCCATCTAGTTGTTCCTGCCAAGGAATTCTTGAACCTTACCTAGCAATGCAAACACTAGCCGGCAAAATATAGGTTGTTACCCCGCTTCTACCTCGATCAGACCAGCGGCCACCGCTTCTACCTCGGCGTTCGTTGGGGTTATCCCGCCCAACGTCTCACAGGCATCCAAGACCTATCGAGCCACCAGCCGACGGAGCGCCCTGCTCCCTAACCACAGAGTTCAGTAGGTTGCCCCACTATCGCTCCGCTCTGCTTGAATCTAGGACCCACTCGGTCGATTCAATAGACAACTCGAAGTATCCAACTGTAGTAAATGGATAGGCGCTTGGAAGAGATGCGTCACGACTTTCACCAATCCAGGGGTGATGGGCAGATCGACTCCACCTCGGGTTGGTCACTATTTATTCAGGATATTTAGGACCAGCCGATCCCCACTAACTTTGGTCTCCCGTCATTGGAAACCTTTGATGGCGCCATTGACCCAATGGAGCACGTCTACAGCGACGATGCTTTCTATTGGTCTCCCGTCAACGAAAGAGTGGTACGCTTGTCTAAAGCCGCTTTCTATTAGCTCCTTCGTTCAACTAACAAAAGAGTTCGAGCTCCACTTCCTCGGGAATATGCGCCCAAGGCCTACAACGACGATGCTTCTCGGACTAAGACAAGATGAGTAGGAGACACTCTCGAACTTCGTTACCCGATTCTCCAAGCCTGCTATCTGAGAAGGGGAGGAGAATAGGAGATGACAACCAAAAAGGCTCTAGCCTATAAACCATTGGTTCCCTCCTATTTATAGAGGTCCCCTATCAACTTAACCCTAATGGATCTTGCTCTATTGGGTATTTGATCCTCATCCAACTATCAAAGCCTCTTAGATTAGTGGATCTCTATCCAATAATCTCCCATTGACTCTTATTGGATCTCATCCATAGGATCCAATAATTCAGGGGCTTATTGGATATCCAATAAGATACAGGCTTTGACAGATATCTCATATCCGAACCTCTACTCTTCGCAACGCCTACCATATGTTTATGACCCTCTAGACCCAATATCGAGCTGGCCGTGAGTCATACCTGTCAGAACACCTTCTAGCTCAGTGAATTATTATCTCCATAATAATTCACTCGATTCATCGACTGCGGACGTACTAGGCCACTACGCTGCAGTCCCCAAACTATACAGGGGAATCCAATCGATTGGACCTGTTTATCCTTAGTTACTGTGTACCTATAGTCCCTCAACCATCTAATATCCCAGAGACTGTATACCGGGCATGGTGCTGTCAGACCTATATGGTTTCTGCTCGAGTCTCGCTCTAATCGGATTCTCTCGGAGAACTCTTTCTCTCTCAATCCGAATGACCTTGGCTAGAGATTTGTTTGAGCAAGAACACATGAGACATTCCTCTCATGACACCAAGAGTGGATGATCCTCTATCGACACTCAATAATCCCCGTAAGGTTGGCTACCGCTCTAGATGATCGGTTGTGCTAGATCTGGAACCTCTAGATCTATAAGTCCGGTATCAAAGAGTGGAGTACTCATACAAGATATCCTTGATGTCTCTAGTCTAAGGACCATATACACTACTGGGACTACGGAATCGCTGTCTGACAATAAGGCATCATCAACCATCCAACATTCCGTAAGCGGATCAATCAGTAAACTTATTCTCCAATGAGCACCTATACTATATCCCTAGTGTCCCCACACGAGAAGCCATGAGATCAGCTGCATCCATCATATAGACGAGTATACAGCACACCAGTTTGTCTGGTTATCTCGATGTCCCTCTCGAGTAACCTATGATCGAGATTATTTAGGATCTGTGTTTAAAGTTGAATCAGTCTCATTATCGTGATCTCATCACGATCCGATTCCCATTGCACAGATCTATATACATCATAATATATTTAAGCAACAAACAATATAAAGTGAAAAAAATGCTAAATAATAATAACAAGCAAAAAGACTACGTATCATTACTCATGTGATTGGCTTGCAGGGCACATATGACTAGTAAAACCCGCTACAACGAAAGCACAAGGCGAAGTACGCCCAAGACGTGAGTAAAAAAAAATTGACCTACGTAAAAAAAAAACTCACTACAACGGAAAGATTAAGCCAAGAGACGCCCAAGGCGCATAAGTCGAGAAAAATCTAACCCGCACCAAGTAAAATCTACCACGACAGAGATGCAAGGCCTAGTATCCCCAAGGTGCCTAATTTGGAAAAACTCGATCTATTAGAAGAAATCCTAAATGCTCCCATGCCACTAAACGACGCGCTTCGAACCCCAAAAGCCCCCAAGCACGCCTTCGGGGGGAGGGGGGGGGAGGCGACGGGGGGGGGTGGTGAAGGGAAACAAATGATAGATAATATAAAATCAGTTAGCCACCATTTGTCGTGTTAACACTACGTAAGGCCTATAGGAAGGTAAAGGCTCAGGAAGCCTAACACCCTCCTACCCACATGGATAGGAGTCCAAACGGCAACTCGGGTCAATTACCGAGTTGTCGAGTTGTCTTCCCTACGAAATATTCGTAGGAATATTCTCGGAAGTCCAAGCGATAGCTCAAGTCGGTTACGAACTTCCTCTCCTATGGAATATTTGCAGAAATATTCCCAAAAGCCCAGGGGACAGCTTAGATCGATTACGAACTAGCCCATCGCAAAATCTTTATGGGACATTCCTTCTCCTCAAGGAAGTATAAAAACACATCATTAACTCCAGATTAAGGAGGGACCTACGTACTAACTTAAGTATTGGAGGGACTGGCTTCGGAAGTAGCTCCCGACCTTAGTTTTTGTGTAGGTAATAAGTCTAGAGAGACTGTACTCTATTCTGGACGACTTCTCGCATACAGATTAGGGCCACGTTGTGCTAACAAAAATATCAACGACATTTTTCCCCAACATAAGTCAATTAGCTAAAACTAATAATCTAATATTTCAAAAGATAATTTAGAGGAACTTACAAGTTCAGGCACCGATAGTAGTTCAATCCTCCGGTGAAGCCTGACTTCTCAAATTTGCTAGCAAAATAGTTTATATCTTCTTCTGAAAGCCATGAAGGCAAAGTAACTGGAGTTTCAAGGGAAACTTCAAGTCCTTTATCCTTGGGTATATTAATAGCTGCTGGCTTGCGGTATGTCAAGAACTTTTTCATAAACAAGGTTGTACCAATCTGTGCAATTTCAGCTTCCATTGCTCCATGTTCCTAGAAATACATCATTATGCAAACATCATTCTAGATAAGAAAACAAGGTTAACAAATAGAACTGGTGCATGCTCACTCTTTTGACTAAAAACTACATTAACTAACTACAAGCTTAAACTTTAAACAATAATTGCCTTGTAACATTTATGCAATGATACCAGATATGGTCCCTTAACAATCCCAAGCTACATCTGATGGTGGCATTGGGTTGGTTTTAGTGAAACTCTGAAACTTTGTACCTTGTGAAAAACCATTTCATGAGTTGGCAACTAGAAATGTAAATTTCATACATAAGAGGGACAAGCTGCGTGATGGAAGGTTGGATTGAAAGAAGAGATGCTTCAGAACCATTATGAAGCCATGAAAGAGTTATATCATTGATTCTTATTTTAAGAGAAAAGATTAATATATCTAATGATGGAAGAAAGATAACAAGGGATTCTAAACCATTAGGCCATATGCTATATACACCATCATGCCAGAAGGATGAAAAGTGTAAGAATGCTGTAGTTACCTGTTTCAAGTGTGGGTAAACATGATTGGTGGCATATAAATAGCTTACAACGTGAGTAGCCTTGTCAAAGAAGACCAAGTTTGCATATAAGAAGGAAATACTAACTTAAATATATATATATACAAAAATGAAATTAATATCACATAACCATGCTTCGGCGACTTACAATCACTCATATACATGGCCTACTAAAAGGATGTACAGGAAAAAAAATTTCTTTTCCCAGAAATCTTGTTATACGACAAGAACCCACCAAAACAAAAATCTAAACTCTCCAGACATGGCTCCTAATAGCTAAACAATTTGTTCAATCTATAACATAACAAATTGGTGCTCTTAAATTCAAACAGACTTCAAAATATTCCAAAGGGTCCCTAATGTTGAAAGAAAAATTAAGGGCAGAAATATAGTTATGAACATTTTTGGTTACTACAGGCACAAGGGCCAGGGATTTAGGTAAGAGACCTAACAGAAGGACGCCCTATATCATAATCAGATATAAGAACCATTCAATTTTATCAAACCCTTGAATGAGTCAACCTATCAGTGGCAGCGAAGGCTGCGCTTAAAAGTGATTGAACATCCGATCCTTTAAACAAAATGAGTAATACCTGAGATAAGGCTGGTCGGCATAATAGTAGAAGCATGTATACCAAAGATCATAGTTATAGAAACCAATCATATCAGCGAGAGGATTGAAGGGATTAAAATTAACAAAGTTTGTATCCTAGATGTCCAACATCAGTTACAGATTTCAGCAGCTAGAACTGATGGCAGTAAGCATCCATGTAAATTGCCAGTCTCGTCTAAGAAGTAGCCATTTGATAAAGCGAGTGTTCGGCAAGATATCGAATAGCTACCTGGAAGCGGCAGATGTAGTGGTCGTCCCCAAAGATTGTCCTACAAGCGTCCACTGGTCTCCGACCGGGATTCCGCGGAGCGTAAGCGACGCTCAGATTCACCAGCGCTTTCACCATGTCCGGTCGCAAGATGCACAGCCACCACGCCATATACGCCCCCCAGTCGTGACCCACCACGAACACCTGTGTCGATTAAGTCGACATCATCAATGTACATAAGACGTCATACATAGAAAGAATGGTGTTTTAGAGGAAGGATTACTTGGTCAGGGCCGAGGGCCTGGATGAGGGCGACGAGGTCGCCGACGACATGGAAGGCGGTGTACACGGAGCTGGAAGGAGGGGCGTCGGAGTCGCCGAAGCCGCGGAGGTCGGGGGCGACGGCGCGGTAGCCGCGGGCGGCGAGGGAGACGATCTGGTGGCGCCAGGAAAACCACAGCTCGGGGAAGCCATGGAGGAGGAGGACCACGGGGCCTTCGCCCATCTCGGCCACGTGGATGTTGACGCCGTTCACGAGCAAGGTACGATGGCTGATCCCTTCCATCTTCTCGCCCTCTCCTGCCCTGAAGTCCGACAAAAGTGTTCTGGTCTTTCCGATGATAAGCTTTGGATTTTCTAAAGGGAGACTTTTTCTTTTCCATTAAAGACAGCTTTGGTGTACGTTTGTAAATAATTAGATAAAGGAAAAAAATTAAAGACCAAACGACATGTCCGATTGATTCTGGACATACATGACCACTGTCATACGAGCTAAATAACATTTCGGGATCTGCAGGAAATAAAGTGAAACAGGCAAGTAAATTTTCACCAATTTCATCCAATAAATTATATTCAATTTCGGGTTCCTCAACTCTTTCAGCTTGTTCGTATTCCTGGAATTTGTTTAAGAATAAAAATAAAAATAAAAATATTATAAATAAAAATATTATAAATAAAAAATGGAATGGTTCATGCTATGAACCAATGTATTTATTCTATTTGTTCGGAAAAGGAAAGCTGCTGTTATGTCATATTAGGGTATTCTAGAAATTATGAAAAGGTGAGATGTCCTTGGGAAATATGAAAACAAAAATCTCCTAGAAAAGATTAAAAAAAAAAAGGAATTTTTTAGGGAATTCACCAAGTAAATTTTCAACAATATGATCATCCAAAGTTACAGTGCTCTGACATAATAAATTATATTTTTTTGGGTTCCTTGACTCCTTCAGATTGCTCACATGCAAGACTAATTTTTTAATTTTTAATTAGGAGCTCGATAGCAAAATCAATTGTGTTTTTCTGCATGCACTTAGAAACAAACATGTTTTGTTCTTAGGCTCAAGAACAGATTCACTATCTTTTTTAGATAACACTTTTTTTTCCAACCTTTTCTCTTTTTCTAAGATCAGAAATAACAAAGTCTTTTGCAAGCACAACAACTAGAGATCAAATCAATCAATCATAATAAACATGCCATCGTAAGTGATGATACTATATGGAACATGTCAATTAATTCTCTCTCGACTTCATAGGAATGATTGCAAAGATTTATTTATATAGGGGAGAACTTTATTATAGAGCGAAGCTGTAATCATAACACTCACGCGATGTCTTTGTAAAGCTGATGCTCTTACAAATAAGTTGAGTTCAATAACAAGCCGAAGGTGTCATTACTCTCTTGTCTTGGAATGTGATGTCTCATTCGACCATATCAAGAAGATTATAGGGATTAGTCTTTGCATTAAATCATTTTAAAAGATAAATGGTGAAAACAGGTTTTGATCTTAAAATCTTACAGTAATTTATTAAAAAAATTTATGGATTTTTTAATTTTAGGAGTCCTTAATTTTAAGGATTTGATATTTATCTTTATTTTTTATTTAGTTTGTTTAGTTATGATAGAAGTTTTTAAGTTTTTCCTAATTATGTTAGGGTCCTTTGATATAGTAAATTAGGAATTGCTATTTTTATTTTTGTTAGAAATCCTTATCCTAGTTGGTTAAAGATTAATAACTCTATATATATAATGTCTTTGGCTATTTTATCTCAAATAATCAAATACAACTTTAAGCCTTTGGCCAACTTGGAGATTGATCCTCTCAAAACGATCAAAAGGAGTTTGATCTCCTTGAAGCGATCAAATCTCTATCTATTTTCTTAGATAAAAGCACTAGAGTTTTATCATCTGATATTAGTGCAGTGTCCTTGGTGCTTTCTAGGTGGTGTGTCATCGATGCTTCCTCGATGGTGTGTCCTCGATGTTTTCACAGTGTTCCTAATGTTCTTACGATGTGTCTTCGGCATTCCCTCAATCCCCTCTTCGATGCTGTTATAGATCCCAATGCCCACGTTGCCAATGGTGACTTCACCTTCAATGCAAGTAAGCAATACTCATGCCCTTGACCCGAAATAAAAAATGAAGCTTTGCTTTAGAGTTTTAACAAAAATCAATAAGATGGAAATTCGGCTTTTACAATTAAACAACTAGAACGATCTGAAGTCATAGGAAGATGCTACCAAGAGCATGATAATACCTACCTTCGCATGAAAGTAGAATTTTCTAGATAGGAAGATGGGGATCTGACTAACTAAATTTCTATGGCAGAAATTTTTTTTATTTTCATAAAACTCTATAAGATTCTAAAGTGGAAATAGCTTTCATCCAACTAGATGAGGATATTATTCAATAGTATAATTGGTATAAAATGTTGAATCTCGTATTTTAATGATGAAACCAATTGATAATTGTGTTTATGTTTTAATTTGCGTTTTGAGTGACGCAGGATGTCTCGATCAGGATGAGATAATTAAAGCAGGAAAAATCATGTTGGGCTAGAGGAACATGTCAGAAGATTGGACGTCGGGCCGGTGGATCGGTCGGCGTATCGATAGAATGCTTCGGGCCATGGATTCGGGCATTGGGCTAAGAAGAGCAGGTATTGCGCCAAGGATATCGAAGTTGCGGAGTCAACTGGCCGATTGGGCAATAGGCTACAAGAGAGGACGATGCGCTGAAGAATCGAACGAAACGTCGAGGGACCAATGACATACCGGACAACTTGATTAATGCTTAGTATTAATTGTCTAGATCGAAGTTTATTTTACATGTGCAGGATTAACTACGATGGAAGTAAGATATGTAGCAGGAGTTGCGTCGGAGTCAAGACCATGATCACGTTGGGGGTTCGAGAGTTTGACGGAAGTTCGGACGGTCGTCAGAGGTTCTAGGGGAACAAATCCGAGAAGTCTAGAATCTTGCCAAAGAAGCTCGTCGGAACAGCCAAGTGGATCGTCGCAAGTCCAGGAGCTTGCTAGGAGTTCGTTGGAACATTGCCGAGAGTTCGTCGGAGGTTCGTCGGAAGATCGCCGGAAGAATAGACTTACGGACTTAGTTTAGCTTAGAATATATCTTAGGAATCGTAGTTAGCACGTAATTGGGCTTAGATTGGGCCAACCCAATTATAGGCCAGCTAGGCTCATGTAAGAACTGTGTTGGGCCCAATAAGAAGCCCAAATAGTGTCCCAAGAAGACTTACCATCGTGGCACAATCTTCGAGACTATGTCAGGCAGTGGTACCGCCAATCTGGGCGGTGGTACCGCCCAGCACTGCGCCCCAAGCGGTGGTACCACCAGACCTGGGTGGTGGTACCGCCCAGGACAGTGTTAGTCAAATTGACACTGGGCGGTGGTATTGCCCAGCGCAAGTGATGGTACTGTCTAGCGCAGGCGATGGTACAGCCCGTGCCCGAGGAACCCGGGATGAAATGTTTTTAGGCTCCAAGTTTGAATCAACTTGAAGCCTATAACACCGCCTGAGCTCGGTCTTCGAGCTCTGCCTGGCGGTGCAACCTCTCCAGTCAAGAGGTGCAACCGCCTGATCCCGGAATTCCGGGATTTGATCGTTTTGAGCTCCAAATTTGAATTGGATTGGGGCCTATAAATACCCCACCCATTCAGCACTGAAAAGATATAGACCTACACC